TTACCAGGGCCATAATAATCAACAGGCAGCCGGGCGCTGAGCCCGTCCAGGCAGCCAATAGAAGGAATTATTATTTTTTATGATTATTTAAATTACGCGAGGCTCGGGGAGGAGCGAGAGGAGGCGGGAACTGCTGGAATGTCGGTGCAATTTACAAAAGGCAGCCACTTTGCAGCTCCATGGCCTTAGCCGAAGCCGAAGCTGCCTCCACTAATAGTTTTCATCAGTCGCTGGCCCACTCACAGTGGGCCCAGGCGGCACGAGCAGGAGTTGGCCTCCTCTGGCCATTTGAGGGGCACTGGCTCTGCCTTTCGGCCCACTGTTTACCGGCACTAAGGCCGAGGAGCCTGCAGCTTTTAGTGCAATTGGCTGGCAGCTTGTTTAATGATCATTAAATACGAAGACGACACACGATGGGCGACGGACGACGGACGCGGCGACGTAGACGACGACGACACAGGAGCCTTGGCTCGGAGGCGCAGTTTTGATTCAGACCGCTCTTGACCAGGCCTTAATAAATGAGAACAGGTAGTCCCCCCGCGAGCTCTTGGCCCGAAAAGCCCACTCGGCAACCCAACTCCAGCCCGGCCCAGACTCGTTTTTTGCGCCGCTTCTGCTGCCCGGGGCCAAGTGCTTTGGACTCACTCTAATTAGTCAATTTTTTTACTCAATTAAATCTGCCAGGCGGGAAGCGGCCGAGGCAGCAGAAGCGGCAGAAGCTCAGAATCGCAGGAGCAGAAGAGGCTCTCGAGTAAGCAAATGATGTGCAGTAATTAGTGGACTCGCAGCGCATCTGTAAACGTGCATACCCGCAGAATTCCCAGTTCGACTTGTCCCTGAGACCTTGCCCCGCCGATGATAAATAATAATTTTTGCCCACCGCACTGGCTGGCAATTTCGCTGGCAGGCTGCAGGATGACAGGTGCAGTGACAACACACATGCACGCTCCTCCAGATACACGTTCTCACCGATACACAGATACACGGATACACACACTCCAGTGGATGCAAGTACAACAACTTACATGTCATACAAGTTGCCTCGTACATTTATAATCAAGCTGCGGCGACCGCAGAACTCTCGAATCGACAACGACCACGTTGCTGCCGTTGTTGCAGTGGCTGCCGTTGTTGTCGTTGTTGCCGTTGTTGCCGTTGTTGCTGTTGTTGCTGCCACATGATGGAGCATCTTCGACGATGACGAAGGCCCGGTAGCACAGCCAGTGTGTGTGCTCTGTGCGCCGTGTACTTGCAGCTTGTATCTGCTAAATGAAAACATACCCGGGAAGCGGGCCCCATCCGCGGCTGAGCAAAAGAAATTGCCACAAGCTGCACACTGGGACGCGATTAGAAAGTATTGAAATGTGCCAAAAATCACTAATTACACCGCCGAGGTTCCCCCGGTGAGGCATACTAGGAATGTGAAAGCATTCGGGGAGGTGAAAGGAACTGCGATTCGCACAAATCAGAACCCATCGTTATTAATGATGTGTGAAGTGGCGAGGGGAAGAATGCTCTCAGATTGGGTCAATGAGTTGGCTAAATATTGTAATTAGAATGGAATCAATTAGGGAAAGGAGCCCCCCAGAATGACGGCAGCAGAAAACAATTTGTTTTGGATCGAATTCCCCAATTGGTGTGGCAGTGATGGGTAGAAGAACCATTTATTTTCCTGTGAGCATCGACAGCTAAGTGCAATTGATTGGCACACTTACCTTTTAGTCTGCTGTTAATTAGTCTTTTCAGTAATAGATATTCTCTGGGAACCAAGACAGTGCTTTGGCCAAATCTCTTCTAAGCGGTCACTTGAGTTTTTCATCTGTCCGAACCAGCTGCTTGCTCTAGGGTAATTTAACCTTTTGAGATAAAATATTTCTGTTTAAATTGGAAGCAAGTCAATGGCAGCCGTCCGTCCGATTAAGTTTGAATAATTGATTGCCAGGTAATGATAGTTTTACCTTACGAAGAGCATTAGAACCAGTTGATTTTCCAGGTAGCGAAGAGTCAACTCTCACTCGAGAATGGAATGAATGTGGGGCGACTAGAAGTTGACCTTTCTAACCGCCTTTGGACCCCTCGAGAATGCCAACATGTGGGCTTGCCCCACTGTGGCCCCGGCAAAACATCCTCATCAATGTCGTTGTCCGTCTGCCGGCGAACAGAAGCGGAGGCAGAATGGGCCACAGACCAGATCTCGGGCCACAGAATCGCATCCCTCCGAGTCCGGGGAACACCCGCCCGTCTAGAAATCGCGCAATGATGAAAACCATTGGACAAAGTCTTTGACTTGTATTCATTTTTTCTTGCTTTTCTTTCGCTCCTCTTTTCATTCTTTCTTTCCGCTTCTGTTGGCTCTTTTTTCCGTGCCGCGGCGGCGCTTGGGAAGGCTTTTATATGCCTCATTCAGCTGCATCTTTTTGCTCACCCATCAGTTGGCGATGTTGGGATGGTTGGTATGGTTGGGATGGAGAACAAGGAAAGCGAGGGGCAGCGGGGCAAGGGGAGCCGACTCTGTCCGTTTTGTCTGGGTTTTTGTGTAAAAGCGACTAATGTGTCTACGGAAGCCATTTCGTGCCTTTTAGAACCAGTTGCCAGAGAGCAATCTTCGAGTTTGTGTTTGTTTTGCTTTTGGCGTAGTTAATTCGCCAAGTAATAACATTATACGAGCGGCCGGACGAAGCACTTGTGCTTATGAATGTCCTCTGGAGATGGCAGCCTTTCGGCCCTGCGATGATCGATACTCGCAATGGGTCCTGGCCAAGAACACGCATTCCTGCCGCCAGACTCACGCTGCCATCTCCGAGGAGCGAGGCGAGGAGCACTTGTACTTGTACTTATGAATGTCGTCTTCGACTCGGCAACATGCTGTGCAGCCCGGTTGAGGAGGAACCTGCCGGTTCTGCCGGACCTGCCTTCCTCCAGGCCAAATTGGCTTGAATTTTACGGCAGCAGCGACGGCCAGGGCAACAATCACGATGATGATGAGGACGATTGGCCTCGCCCGGCTCGGTCTGTATTTAAGAGACATCATTCATCTGACCGCCCCATCAACGACAGTCGAAGTCTGCAGACCGACTCTGGCAATGATGATGATGACGACGATGACGATGACGATGGCGATGATGATGACGACAGCAATAATAATAATAACAAACAGCCACGGCAAAAACAGGGACCCTGTGTAGCCTGTGCTGCCTGTGTAGTACAAAGTACAAGTCCGCATAATTATAATCAACGTCATTTAACGTTGCCGGCCGTCACTCAGCGCCATCCACAACAACGAAAGCGGCCATGGAGCTACATTGCCCCATCAGGCTTATTGTTGTGTATCTTTCGGATACATTTTTGATAACAGCTGCGAAGGGAGAGGGGAGCGGGGAGCGGGGGGGAGGGGGGAGGGAGGCACAATAACTTTGTCGTGGGGAAGGAAGTGGAGCATAAAAGTCACCTATAAACATGCCATAGAAATCTGCTAGCTATTGCCGCAGTATCTTCGGGATACATTTGTGCGATAGCAGGAACTTCCTAAAATTACTTTTATTGGTCGGCATTAGGAAGAGATTGCTGAGGCGAGTCCCTCTAAGATATTCAATTTGCCCTTGCAGCAAATGTAACGTAGAGGGTATTCCCTCTTCGACCTTGCCGCAGAACACTTTCGCCTTAATTCATTTTCCTTTTGGGCTTTTCAATTTTCTCTTTTTGCACGGCGTTTGTTGACCTTTGTCAACTTTGAACACGCGACTAAGCACTTGGAATTAGCGCAAATACATTTCAGTATCCACGCAATACGCACTCACACTCAAGCGGAAGGTATCTATGAGTTGTGTCGGGCCAGCGGAAGTCGGCTATTTATAACAAATTACCAACCATTTGACATTTACCCAAAACGACGACGTCGAATTAAAGATTTGTGCCCGGAGTGTTGGCGGAAAGGGGCCGGTGGGCGGATGGGCGAACACTCTTGGCATGTAATCAAATGTAACCGCACACCAAATATGCGCAGACAGCTGCAATGGAAACGGCGGTGGAGTGGGACAATCCGGGGGACTCGGAGGGCCGGGACTAGACGTCCTCAATGCGCTTGCGGTTCGTCTGGCTAAGCCGCTGCGATTTAATACAATAAGTCCCAATGACCGACCTGGGCTGGTCCCACAGCTCGTCTGGCCTCGCCCCCACTTGGCTTCCTCACTAACGGACGGACAGACGGACAAACGGACAACGGACAAACGGACGGGCAGACGGACGGACAGCGGTCTGACTCGGGTTCAGTTCTCGGCGACCTTCTTCATTAAAATTATGACAAGCTGTAATTATCTTCGATTTGCTTTGACCAACCACCACGCACTAATTGCGTGCAAGACAGAAGACGCTGATATCCGAGAGGGAAAGGCCGGAATTAGTCATTCAAATAGCGAAAGGGGGTGGGATGGTCGCTCACTTGACGCGGTTGAGTGACGACATGGGAAAGATTTGGCAGAAGTGAGAGCCCGATTTGAGCAGAAGCTTTTATCCTTAAACTTGAACTGAGTAGTATTTTTTAATGAGTGCAAGCGCTGCTTCCAAAGATAGTTGCCATCTTCCTGTCACTCGGATTAGTGCTCCCCTCCCCGCCGACTTTAATTCTCCTGCTCACTCGAGTACTCCGAGCAATTTCGTCTTCCGACGTACATTGCTGTGAAAACTGCGTGACCAGGCTAATTAACGCTTCAAGGAAAATGTTGACGAACTCTACAACAACAACAAAGAAACGACGGCAAAAATGAACCGTCAACTTTGTTGTGATGTGTGGATAGATGGACTGCTGGATGCCTGTGTGACTGAATGGGGATGTGTATCTCATAGATACCGGTTCATAATTTATGTAATTATATGCGTTTAAACATTGCAGCACGAAAGAAGACCGAGTAGCGTTCGCGTTCGCGTTCGAGTTCTTTCACTATTATAACCGACAACAAATTATAGCAATTATATAACATTTTTCCTTTCCTCCCGCCTTTCAGGTTGCATCCGCCATCGGACGGAGTTCCAGCTTTGTTCATCCGCGGCTTTGTTCGGGCGACAAGCGAGACTAATGAGAGCAAGTCGGAAGCAGGAAGCGGCGGCGAAAGTAAAACTGCTTGAGTAAATAGTCGTAGCTGTGATAACACCAAAGAAGCGGACCAGATCACGAGTTACGTAATTACGAGCCATCGTCCAGTGATTCCACGCGCAATAAATGTCAACGTGGCAGCGAGAAAAGTAATCACAACTATTTGCTAAACCCAAGCACCAGCAAACCAGCGCACAAAATGGCTCGCCCAAGGAAGCCAGTTGCCGCACAAACTCTCCTTGCCACGCCGGCAATAACAACAACAACAACAGCAACAACAAAAACAGCAAAAAGAACAACAAGAAACTGCGTGGCAGCAACACTGCGGCCCAGCAGACGACCCTCAAGTTCAAGGCGGTCATCGTTAATCACATGTTTTATATCCTGCCACACGTTCTGCTTGTTCCTGCTGCTCCTCCTCCTGGCCACCGGAGCCCGGGCCGCCGGCAAGCTGGCCACTCGCAGCAACAAGACCTCGGGATCCGGACCCGCAGCCGGAGCCGGAGCCGGAGTCGGATCCGGAACAGCAGCCACCTCAGCGGCGGCGGCGGGAACACCCATCTGGGATCACGCCATCGATTTGAATGAGGATTTTCGCATACTATGGCAAATCATTAATCAGGATATAACATTCGAAATACAGGCACGTACCCTCGGCTACGTCGGCTTCGGGTTCTCGCCCGATGGCAATCTGGCCGGTGCCGATATGGCCATCGGCTGGGTGGACAAGGGTCAAACCTATTTTCAGGTAAGTGAAGCGCAAAATAAAAACCAGTCACAATGAAAGTGAAACGAAAGGGAGCGACAGAGGGGCAAGAAAGTTTCTTGGGGCTCTGAAAACCCAATACCCTTGGAACAATCGGGTGGGAGATCTGAGCGCCTAACGATTTTTCACTCCGGGCCAACGTTTTCATTTTTCCGATGCGTGTGGCCGGAAATTAAGGGCAGACCTGGCCGGCCAACTAAATGAAAAGTTGTCGCCCTAATATCATCCAATTTATTCTCGCAAAGTCTCGTTCCCAGGGCAAACATTTTGCGCTGCGCCGAGTTGATAAATATGTTGTATGAAAATACACGAGAAAAACATTTTGCCACTCAACTTGGATCGTAATTAATTTGTGGCGGGAGCAAAGTCACACAAAAAGGTGCTCGAAATATGTATACAAGCGACAGTTTGCCCGCCGCTGAATAATGACAAACTCATTTGCAGGACAGCAAAGTTTTTATTTGCAGTTCTGCCGCACAGTTTCCCGGTTAGCTAATGGAATAGTTGGCTGGGTCGTTGTTACTTGATTATGTCGCTTAATCTGCCCGCTTGCGAGTTATGGCCAGATATTTGTTGTCGAATTGTGTCACTCTTTGAGGACTGGCCGTCTGATTTGTCCGCTTCAATTGTGAAACAAGCATTAATAAGTGAAAATTGTGGCATGTGGCCTTCTCAAGCTTTTCCAGGTCACGTTTCGTGTCGGTCGGGGTCACCTTCCGCTGTTGTTCGGCCATCAGATTGTGCGAGTTAGTGGGACCGATCAACCACTCCGTTTCAATTCGTTTGACAGCCATCATCGGACCACCAACTGCCAGTCTTCCGACCCTGCGAGCCAATAAAACGCTAATTTTTCGTTTTTATTTGGAAAAGTCGTAAGAGACGACGTCATTTGGCCAGGGCTCCGAGCCAAAGGGAAAGTGGTAGCACCTCTCGGCCCCTTTTGTAGTGGTGACTCTTCAGGAAGAGTAATAGGAGTCGTCACTGCAAAGTGTCTAATGAAATGCGAGTATTGCGTGCTGTGGTTGCGTAGCTCTCCGCTTTTCCTATTCTTTGCTTTCCCTTCCTTTTTTCCTTCTTTTTTTTCGCTCCTGCCTGACAGGATATGCGTGGGGCAGAGGGGGCGGTAGGAAGTGGGAGGATGGGCGGATGGGCGGCCAATTGTACGGCTGACACAAACAGAGAAAGCTTTTTCCCTCCTTGTTGTTGCTGTGTGATTTAATGATTTTCGAGGCAGCCAACGAAAATGTCACCCACACACATAGTGATTGTTATTGTTGTTGAATGTTAAATACCAGCCAGATACATTAATATGTCTGTCTGCCGCCCCCGACCTGCCACGCCCCTCCCCCCTCCCCTTTGCCCCGCTGCCCGGCGGTCTGACTGCTTGTGTGACGGTGTTAATTTCACATCTTGACGTGTCGTTGGTAATTGCGAGTTGCTTCAAATTGTACATACAATATCGCATAATGGGGCTCGTGACTGTCACCTCGCCGTCGAGAGCCGCAGTGGGTTTTTGGGGGTAGTGGGAGCCTTGCTTTGACTTTTTGTTGGGCGCTGATTTGTGGAGAGGTTCAAAGGTTAATTAGAGCTGAAACAGATATGCCGATTTAATATATTAATTAAGTGGCACAGGTGCGCAGGTGGAACGCAGGACACGGCGTCAAAGCAAAGCAAAGTCGAAGGACCCTGACACGCTTACACTTGCCTCGGGGCTCGGTGTTTTGGGTCCGGTTTTTTCACCTCCCCCGGCTAAGGACAGCTTATCGCCTATAAGTTCTTAATTACGGGTGTCTAATGCCCTCCCTGCTAATTGAAACAAATTACGCAATTATGCATATTTCAATGTGAAAATATTTATCAACAGCAAAGCCGTTTCATCGTCCACTAATTGGCTAATTTTTGGAATACTATTAAATTGTCAAACGACTTTCGCACAGGACAGATAGCACTTGCGAGGCGGGGGAATGAAATACGGACGGCCTAGTACATTTTTATGACGGCGGCATTTATGGAATTTTCATTTAAAATTCAACACACATCGATAGAGGGAGACGACAGAACATTGACCATAAAATATTTGCTCCCAGAATTTGTTCAATTGACTTAAGGGGTTATATCCAGTTGCGATTTTGAAAAAATCGAAAATTTTTTTTTTGCCGATTTTGAATGTATATATATCTAAGAAGATTGTCTGAAAATTTCAAAGTATTCCGGTAAATAGTATTGGAGTAATCAGTATATTTGTAAAGACGCCTCCCATGTAGTTCAACTAGTAGCCAAAACTTTAAACGCGTTTTTCTCGAAACTATGTCTTCAAAGTCGGTGAGCAAAATTTCTCAGAGACGGCTTGTCCGATTGACTTGAAACTTTCACATTCTCTTCTTAGATATTTTTTCAGGTAATGAGACTTGGAATTTTGGCTCCGACAAAAATTTCGATTTTTTTAGCCACTTCAAAGTTGAAATTTTTGTGCCAAAAACAAAGTTTTATGTTTGGGAAGCCGCCATTTTGTCAAAAATCTAAATTTTGAAAATCCCCAGTCTCATTACCAGCATTTGTCTATTCTTTACGTATTCCTTTTGGTTTTTTGCATTTCAGATAATTTGGACCGGAGATATTTTGCTCACCGCAAAACCTTTTTTTGAAGTGGACCCTCGGGAGATCCTCTACAGGACCGACGGAGTCCAAAATTTTTTTTTTTTTTAAATATATTCTAAAACTAGAAATAATGACCTATCTTTTCATATATATTACGTATTCATACAATAAATAGCCTCTCCAAAAATAATTTTCAAAAAAGCTCATTTTTTTGGCCTCGCAACTGGATATAACCCCTTAAAGCGGAGTCGGCGGGAAAGAAGCCGAGGAAAAGAGCCTACGGACGAGCCAGCAACGAGAGTCTCTTCTCTGTCAAGAGTTTTTATCTTAAGTGTCAGCCCAAGGGCAAATATATAAGCATAAGCTTAAGTATTGCTCTGTGTGGAGAGGGGCTTCCGGGGGGATAAACGATGGAGCAGCCACTGACATAGTTCTCATTAGATTGAACAATGTGTGGGAATTTTCGCATTCAATTTGGGTTTTCTTTAGCCTGGTTTTTTGGGCAAGTGCCATGTGCCTTGGCATACTTGGAATGCTTTCTGGCCGGCATGGCTTATAAATTCTCCAATGATTACGATTATTCCACGAGTCGGGTTGAATTTTCAAGTAGTTTATTTACGGGTTGGAAAAGTCTTAAAGGTGAGGTATTTGTTTTTTAGTCAATTATTAAAGGAGCTTAATAATAACTTAGTAAAACTTGACTTGACTGAATGTATAATGTATATAAGGTATAGTGTATGATTAATCGATACTCCGTACCTATTTTTGAGTCTTATCTGTATCTGTAAAATATTCCAATTAAACGCATTCCACAAACACTTAAGCACGAAATGCATTCATGCAGTAAGTAATTAATCTCCTTAGGAAATGTTTACATTTAGGGAAAACAACCTACTTTGAGGAAACTTGAAATGTATCTCGCAGTTAAGTATACATTCCAGCCAGACAGCCTGATAGTCCGATGACCAACCCACATGCAGCTTTATTGGGATATCACTCAAGTAGGACAAATATTTGATAAGTTTGCTCTCCCGTTCTCTGTCTCGCCTGGTTTTCCCAGCAGCCGCGGCTCGGATTTCACCCAGAACTATCATCGTTTATTGGCCAGTTGACCAGCGTCTGAAGCTGACATTCCCACAGCGCCGCCGACGACAACAAGTGTAACTCCACAAGTCCGTTCTCGGAGCTCCCCTGCGAACTGAAACTTTGCTCACTTTCGCCCGCAGAAGCAAAGGCAGAAGAAGTCAAGTCGAGTCGAGTGAAGTCGACTCAACTCGAGTCGGAGACAGGCAGCAAATGGCCCCGGCGAATCCGCTTTAAAGGCTGACATAGTCAACAAGCCAAGAAGCGGATCTGGGGACGGGGACGGGGTCCCGGCCTATTAGTCGCCCATTATTTTGTAGATACTTTTGCGATAAGCCCTTTGCCGCTTCTGCCGAAAAGGCGACCGAGATGATGATGATGCCACACCTAAAGAGAAATACTAATTTCGTGTAATTTATTTTCAACTTTTATTACACGCGCCCCGAGGAGCGGGAGTCTTATCAAAATTTTAATTAATACGCATCTGAGAAAAGTTTTGTGAAAATGGTTTCAGCGCCGCTCTTGCTGTCTTTTGGCCAAGGCCGAAAGGGCCCAAAGCCAAAAGCTTGCTCTGACGTTAATTAGTGCCATCCAGAGTGGCTGGCGACTTTGTTGCACTCGCCGGCGGAGCGAACTACAGCAAACAAGCCACAACAAGCCATTAGCTGTTTAGAGCGGCCAACAAAAACCAAGAAGCGATTAGTATCTTAAAAGTACTTAAAAGGTCGTTACCCTGGCCCCATCTAAATACGCAGTACGCCGTGGCCGGGGCAGTGGGGCGAGCTTAGCCAGCGACTAATTATTTAATTTCGAGTTTTAAGCCCCAAGTCCGTCACTCATCCCAGCGCATCTCAGCGTAGCCTTGCCCCCCGGTTACCGCTCTCCGTCCCCGGCGGAACGGACGGGAACGCAACCCATTAAGCGCAGAGATAACAGATCCATTATAGAAGAATTACGAGTGCGCAACATCAGCGGAGCGCCATCAACATCACAGTCGTCGTCGTCATCTTTTGCTAATGACCATCGATGGCGATGCGACGGCGCTGTCGATGTCGATGTTGATGTCGATGTCGATGTTTTGTGGCCATCGCAGTACATCACTCAAAGCGAAGGTTGCTTATGGGATTGACAGCCGGAGGCGGAGGAGTGGGAGGGGTGGCTATATTCCATATGACTTTACCCGGTGTCCATATACTCGCCGGGGCTTCGAGTTGTTACGCTGCACAAAAATAAGGCGAAGCTCCATTACAAACTCATTAAAGTCGCTCGAAGTGAAACAACAGTTTTGGCAACCTTTTGAA